GTCAACACCACATAACTTTTATATTTTTCCCTCACCAATTTTTTTTTTTTAATTTAGTGAGCGCAAAACACTCTCAAGCAATTTTCTGGGTTGAATACACGGATCACCTTTTGATTCATAATCTTAATTTCTTAAATGTTCGACAATAAAACCGATTTCAACCGTGTTTGGGTCCATTTCTGTCTAGTGATCTCAGTCGAAAAAACAGCGACGTATCTCTATAGTGAATTTTTATTATTGACAAGAGAAACAGATCAAGGGGCGACACAGTCTTGCAACACTTGCCTCCTTATTTCATTGATGGAAAAACATTAAGTACAATTTCGATTGCTTTCAACTGCAGAATCACTTGATATTTTCAAACAGAAATCCACACAAAAAAACATGCATGTCCCACTTGTATTGGATTAATCTTCTTGCGTCACGCCAACAGATCTGCTCCCCCCAAATACAAGCACAAAACTGGTCAAACAAAAGCAAAACAAACAAACAATCCGTATAGTTCTTTGAATTTCAACAACAGAAAATGACAGAGAATCCACTGGATGTCGAATCAGTCAAGATTTTGCTTTTACCCTAATCACGTCCCAAACGCTGTATACAGTATCTGTATCACGGCGCACTCCATTCAGTTTAGTTTTTATCTCCACGTAACCCACGTTACATTTAATTTTGGCAAGACCGAAACTTCATGTTGTCATTTATATCTAGAGCCTCACTGGCCCTAAATTTTATATCAGTATCTTCGAGTTACAAAAAGGGACAAGTGAAAAAAGTCACCCAAGTTACTTGGTCAAGAATGTGTCTGTTTTCCAACTCAAATAGAACACCGCCGAAATTTACCTGCCATTTCTCAAAACTTGAGAAAATATCAAATGCAAGTATTGACCATTCCGTATTTCCCTAGGTGCTGTGCATGATGAAACACCGTCTTCGGAGTTACGATGAACTCATGCTAAAACAGTTGTGATTGTACGCACACAACACGAAGTTTGCGTATATCTTTCTTTTTCTTTAACTCGTGTACAATGTGTCTAAAATGTACCCTTTTATTCAACCGCCGGCCTTGAGAATCAAAACCTTGACTTAACACTGGCTTGTACACAGACTGACGTATGTGAAATGGCATAAATGATGACGTGATCTTGTTATTTATAAATAAAATGTAACTTGGATAAAGATGCAAGATGACTTGTCAAAGAAGATGGTAGATTTTGAGCATCTGAATTTCCAACTTTTTATTTCAATGACAGTTACAATTAAATTGTTTTCATGTAAACCCTCAAAATGCACCTTTCTGTCTCAGTTAACCTTGCTTGCAACTTTTGTTTCACTATTTTCAAAGGATGCTTTAATTGATGCATGTTTTGTTTTCACGGTAACGAGCGTTCCCATATTCAGGCGCAACAGCCATGCTTTCCCAGTTAGGGTTGGGGCTAGAGTAAGGATATAGGGTTGGGGTTAGGGATAGGGTTGGGGTTACAGATAGAGACAGGGTAAGGGTAAGGGTTGGAATTGTGGTTAGGGTAAGGTTTAGTGTTATATAGGTTTGCAGTTAGGGTTAGGGGTAGGATAATAGGGAGGCAGCGTCGCCGGAGCGGTTTCTGGGAGAGGGGCTCCGCCACTCGGGAGGCGGGGAGACGG